AACCCTAGAAACCCTAAACCCTAAACCCTAAACCCTAGAAATTCTAGGAAACCCTAAACCCTAAACCCTAGAAGTTCTAAACCCTAAACATTAGTAGCCGTCACCATCTCTAACGCCATGTGTCTAGACAGGTATACAACAAACCCTAAACCCTAAACCCTAAACCCTAAACCCTAGAAACCCTAAACTCTAGAAATTATAAACCCTAGTAGCCGTCACCATCTCTAACGCCATGTGTCTAGACAGGTACACCACAAACCCTAAACCCTAAACCCTAAACCCTAGAAATACTAGTAAACCCTAAACCCTAAACCCTAGAAATAAATCTGTGTATAGAAGTAAAATATTATAAATATAAATATAAAATAAGTGTGCATGCATGCATGCATGCATGCAGCTGTATAAGAGCTCTAGATAAAGCATCAGGAGTAACAGGGCGTCTATGTAAACAAACGATGCTAAAAATGTATAAAGTGAAACAGTGGCTCGAACCCAGCAACAGCTACGTCAGCAAGGGACTCGATCCAGGCCTTGTTGCACTCTCACAGATGGTGGGGCTTTGCATGCATGCATCCATGCATGCATGCATGCATGCATGCATGCATGCATGTGTGGATGTGTGGATGTGTGGATGTGTGTGTGTATGCATGCATGCATGTGTGAATGTATGCATGCATGCATGTGTGGATGTATGTATGCATGCATGCATGCATGCATGTGTGTATGAGTGTGTGTATGCATGCATGCATGCTTGTGTGTATGTGTGTATGTATGCATGCATGTGTGTATGTATGCATGCATGTGTGTATGTATGCGTGCATGCATGCATGGATGCATGCATGAGTGTATGCATGCAGTGTTTAGTTAGATGCAGTATAAACAACAAAGGATGTTCAAGAGTAGGAAATAGAAGCAGAAACAAAAACACGAGAGGCAACAGAAACAGCAACAGCAACAGCAGCAGCAATACATGCAGCAACAGAAGTAGCATTAAGAGCAGCAGCAGCAGCAGCAGCAGCAGCAGCAGCAGCAGCAGCAGCAGCAGCAGCAGNTGTGTGTGTGTGTGTATTGTGCAGACATCAACACTTCGTGAGATAGATTTACTAACGCATTTATCTTTATGTTTCACTCCTTCTTCTCCTCTTGCATGCACCCGTGTATACTACGCGCTAACAACATGTCTCCCCCATATGTTGCTGGCTCCTGTCCCTCTTCTCTGTCTGCATGCACTCGATGACCCCATAGTAGAACCCCTAGCTGTATGCAGAGCTGCTGCTACTGTGCCTAAGTATAACCCTAACTGTACATACGCTATAGTAAGCAAGGGGGGCCATAACCTATTTCAGGAGGCCTTCTGGCCTCTTGTTACTTCTATTATAAAAAAAAAAATAAAAAATATATATTATTATTATACTAAAGAAAAAAAACAAAATAATATTCATATACAACATACAGAAAATTATAATATACCACATCAACAGCTGTATGTACACCTCAACTATCAAGCCAGGGTCGCCTTAGAATTTATTACGGCTGTGTGGCGGCGTTGCAGCTAAAAATATTTTATTTATTTATTTTGTTTTTATTCTTTTTATTCTTTTTATTATTATTATTATTATTATTGTTGTTGTTGTTCTTGTTGTTTTTATCATCGTTTGTTTGTTTCCTTTTACTTGTCTAGAAACCCAGTATGTTTATCCTTTTCTGTTTTTTGGTGTTTTGTTTGTTTTTGCATTCTTAATCGAAGCATAATGTAATATTGTAATTTATTTTCTTGTTATTTTCTTTATAATGTGGGTATTTCTTGTCTATACACTTCACTCTGGTGTCTATACACCCCAAAATATTAGCTGCCTATACACCCCAACAGGCTGCCTATACACCGCAGTGCGGCGATGCTGCTCTTCTTCTCCGCCTAGCGATTGAAATTACTTTATTATATTCTATATTTATTTATTATATATTATTATTATATATCTTTTAGTGTGCATTGCTGCACCAAAACTCAATTTAGGGGCTTCAGAGCCCGTTCATTGATATGTTTTGTTGCTGTCTACGGTAGGCAAACAGCTAGCTAGCTAGCTAGCTAGCTAGCTAGCTAGCTGGCCTGAACTTCAGCGAGCTAGCTAGCTAGATAGATAGATAGATAGATAGATAGATAGATAGCTGACGATAGATGCAGCTAGCCAGCTTTCTCGACCCCAAAGAATTAAGCCTGCTGAATATAAAACACCCAGCTAGGTAGCAAGCTAGTACACCAGAAACTGACTGCCTTGTTGTAATATTGACATAACAAATAATATATGATATATAATATATAATTAGAATATTAATATTATAATAACAAGGGACAGATCTTGTTATCATACTGATGACGCCTACACCCCCTAGCTGCTTGTAGTGTTATTCATCATATATTATTTGTTATGTCAATATTACAACAAAGCAGAGAAAAACAGTTATAGGGGGACGGTATTATTTATTGCTGATGGGCTGATGTAGAGTTGCTGTCTCTTTATCATGCATGAGCTGCTGTTTCCTTGTTGAGCCCCTTTCATTCTATGTAGCCAAAATAAAATTAAAATAAAAGGGATAGTGTTTGGGGGAGGAGGGGCGAGGGTTTGTTTTTTATATTTAGGTATTTGTAACTGCATGCATGCTGGCTACTGTGGGCGGGATGAGTGTTTTCATTCGTATAAAGCGGTAGTGCATGCATGTGGGGCTGTTACCTTGTAGCAGCAGTAGAACATCAAGTGCTGCAGCAGCTGTTGCTGTTTCTCTTTTGTATTATATGCAGCCCCAGATCACTAAGCCTTTACCCCCAGTGAATGAAGGAAATTCTAACATCGTTATGTTCTGAAACTAACGGTAATAATATTATTATTATTAGTAGGAGTAGCATAATGTCTTTGACTCTGTTTGTTGCAGCTTGCTGGCTGTATATCCCCCCCACAATATCTACACAGTATTGCACACAATACAGCTGTGTTAGAGTAATACATGAAAAATATTTGGGGCTTTTTTGCTGCTGTCATTGGCAGCAGCACTGCATGCGCAAGAGGGGGGTATGAACTTGAATAGGGGGAGTGAAACTCAGGCTGTGCTGAGAGTGCAATTTAGATGGAAATTTCCTCAATATTTTATTTTTCAGTTTATAAATAACTTTTAGTTTATTACTGGCGGCCATTTCTTGCAAAAAGAGCGGCTGCATGCGCAGCCCGCCGCAGCAACCCTCCTGGCTTCTGCAGTAGGAAGAGGAGAATCTGCTGCTGCCTCAGGGTGAAGAGGGGTAATTATATGCAAAAGAAATGCATTTTCCAGTTTAATTATACTTTTAAATTAAATATAATTGTGTTTTTCTACTTTTTTTTGCGTTTCATGGTGTTCATTCACCGCTGTTGACACCCTCGACTTCAGTCGGTGGTGCAGCGTTTCTGTGGTTGTTTTGCAATATCCGTGGGTTATGCTGGTTTTATCCGCGTTATTTCGTTTTTAATTACTTTTCTGAATAAGAATTTGTGAAAAAAAGTAAAATTTATGAACAAAGTGGTAGCTGAACCTCCACAATACCCCAACGATCATCACCGATTGCCAGGTGATGTTTCAGAAAAATTGAATTTGAATTATGAAGAAATGCATGAAAATTTCGTTTATTTATTTCATTTCCTGTTTGTGTGTGTATATAGAGTGCGTTTCATGTTTTTTTTTTTTTTTTGCAAATTCGTGGTTTCTGCATGCATGCTGTGCTGTAACCCCTTACTTCATTCTCACCTGAATTCAACTCGTTTTCTGATGATCATCGTATTGCACGAGCCCCTGAGGTCCGCAGTACTCCCGAGGTTTCTGCAGCAAGGCGAAAGGCTGCGATCCTCCTCGTCTTTGTTGTGTTCTTCTCGGCTCCCTGCACGGAATCTTGGCTGCAGCAGAAGCGTTTGCTGGGGCTGTAAGCCGTGCAGAACAAGCTCTTCATTGCATGCGTTTTTCTCATATGTTTCTGCTGATATCAAAGCAGAAACACAGAGATAAATACGCTAAAAAAGGAGGAGAAGGACAAAACAAAGAGGGAGTGGACCGGCTGTGAGCTGCTTCCTTTAGTAAGCTGATCAACGAGTATTGTATGCTGGGGTATGCATGCAGTGTATGCATTCTGCATTCATTTTCATCATAATTATATCAGCTAACATAAACTATATTAATTAGAACTTTTTTAAAACTATTCTCCCCGAGGGAATACACAAAAAACAAGCGCTTGCTGCTGCAGCATCTGCTGCGGTTGCTGTTCTTCTTGGTTACTGCATGCAACTTGAATTTCTCGTAAGCTTAAGAAAGAAAAAAAAAAAAAAAAAAAAAAAAAAAAANTACACGTTTCGACGTAAAGGATAACATATCTGTGTTGCGGTATACAGAACCAACAGAAAAAAAAAAAAAAATTTAGAAACAAAAAATATTTTTGTATAAAAGTGAAACGGTTTATGTGAATTTCAATACAGGAAAAATATTACAAGTTTTATAGAAACATGAAAAACCCCTGAGTTTCCTATTTATTGAGCCTTTCTGCATTCCTTGTGCTTTATAGATTCAACTTAGGAAAAAAAAAAATAATTAAATTATATTTCTTTTGGGGTTTCGCATCGATATTTTTACATTTTTATTTTTTTTTCTTCTGCGTTCACGTTTTTACAGATACATATATTTGTAATACACAGTGGTAGCTTACTTCTGGTGTATGCTCTAGGTATATTGTTTCTGCGTTAAGGTAAATACTTTTATAAACGAATTCCTCTTATTATTAATTATTATAATATAATAATATAATTAGTTTAGCTTGTAAACTACAATTCTTTTGGCCAGAGAG